CTGTCCCGGTCGGAAGTCCCGCCCCACGTGACGCCCTTTCGCTGGGGGGCGGTATCCGCAGCCGCGCCTGCGCAGGCCGCGCCCCTAGGATTGGCTCTGATGGGGGGGCTCGTCCATCTTTCTGCACCGCGGGGTGCCCGTCGCCCATCGCCCTCGAGGGCCGGGGTCGAGCTCTAGTCTGCAGTGGCCACGGCTGGCTCCCTGAGTACATGACTTGTAGGTCCCTGAAGTTGCGACCCGGTGACATATGACAGACCAGACTGCTCCGAGTGCGCTGACATGCTGAGTGACGTCCCCAAGACCACAGGGGCACTTCCAAGTCGGGGCGAAGCCAAAATCAGCCCCAGCCCCACGCTGGGCTGCGGGGCTCACCTGGCACGAGCGGAGGGGACAGAGACCCTCGTTTTTCAGAGCTCCAGTGGCAGGAATGGCTGGACATTGAGGCCGCATCTGGAAGTGTTCCGTGGGCCCCAGGTGGGAACAGGCCACCTGTACCTTCGCACGGGAACAATTCTGGGCCAGCGAGAGCAAGGCCAAAGTGAAGCGTCAAAGGCCAGGGCCAGGGGCCAGGCCGGTACTGGGCCCACTGGGAGCCTGGGTCCGCATACGTACATGTGTGCTGGCCCCTCTTCCCTGCAGTGCTTCCTCATAAGCACCTTGCCTCACCCTTTCTCTCCCTGTCTGTATGTGTGTCTCAGTCCCATGCCCTCTGAGAGGGAAGGCATCCTGATGATGGGGTGCCAGGTCCCCCAGAATGCGGCTGGGGCCCCAGAGGAGCCACCTGTGACACCCACAGGTCCAGATCCTCCTGTCAGGCATAGCTCTCCAGGTGAGGAGTTTGAGCAGGTGCTAAAGGATGACAGAAGGCTCAGACAAGCTTGTGGTGTCCCCCTTTCTAAGCTCCTACCTGACCTGGTCCCAAAGAAAAATCTGAGACCTTGAGCAGGGTTCAGGGACACTAGACAAAGGTAGGTGGTCCCTCCTGGCTGCAACCAGTCTTTGTTCCATTTCTGTCCCCCACCCCATTCTACACTTCAAGGAACTGGAACTTTCTCTTGGAGCCACAGCATGGGCTTCTGAGACCCCATGTGACCCCAGCTTGCCCCTATGGGATTGGGTGACCATGAGTGACCCGCTTACTTTCTGCATGGGGTGGAGAGTTATGTGGATGAGGAGACAAAGTAGTTTGTGCTGAATGGGCATCCTCTCCAGCATTGGACAGTAGCCCTGATCTTTGAGTACCCCAGCTGCGCCTATCTGGGGTCTTCCCACCAGGCCTGCCATTGGAGCCACTGTCTCCAGTTTCCAGTAGCCTTTGTCACTGCCCTAGGAGACAGGGCCATAGCTTAGTGTCACCCCTTCCTCTTCCCAGGCCCTGGGTGCTACTGAACCATCCTGCCCTGGCTCCCTTTCTCAGCCACAATCGGCTGGGACTGGATTTGGGGAGTTCATGAATATTAGGCTGTGTGACCTGCTAGCCTGAGGGGACACCTGGTAGGTACTAAGGGTTTCAACAGGTCAGCACAGAAGAGCTGTGGCCCTTCTCAGCCTTGGTGGCTTTGCCTCTGGCTACACCGTTGAACTGCATGGCCTTCTTCAAGAAGCCCTCCTGAGTGTCTGCAAGCAGTCCAGGGTCCAAGGGGCTGGGCAGGATAGGAGCTGGCTGCCCCTCACCCCATACCAGCACAGAAGACACAGCAGAGAGGGGCTTGAACTTAATGCATGAGTCTCCACCTGCCTAGGCCCAGTGGAGCACTGATATCTCATAGGACTGTGCAAGCACACAACAGATTGGGGTGCAGGGCCCACCCCGTCTCTCCTACACCCCGCCACTGCCTGCTGTCCAGGACAGGCTGGAGGCAGCCTGGTGAGACCCTGGCCATGGCCTGTTGAGGCCTGCCTGGCCTCATTTGCTTTATTACCGGCCTGTGCCTAGTTAATCTTGGCGGTAGCTATAGCTAGCAAAGTCTCCAGTTTTGTTCTGGAAGGATCTTGATCTGGTATGCTGAAGGTGCTGCCCACCTGGCTGTCAGCCTCTCCTGAGCCCTGGAACCATATCCCCTGGATGGTATGGGCAATGGGCTCAGCAGCCCCTCCCTGTGTGTTTCCATGGTCTTCCCGTCCCAAGGTGCCCAGAGCTGCTTCCCTATATGGGACCCCCAGGGCAAAGTCCTCAGGGCAGAGGTACAGGGAAATCTGGGACCTCTGGGCTGGGGACCTCCCTCCCCCCCAACCCTCATTCCTAACCTGTAGGAGCTTCTCAGCAAAGCAGGAGAGTCCTGGGAGCAGGGGAGGTGGACTGGAGAGCCCCCTGCTGTCCCAGGTGCTCAGCAATGTTCCTTGAGTGCTGGCCAAGGTTAGCTGGGGGAGCTGACCCTCCTTGCCAGCATGGAAGCTGTTATAGTAGGCTGGGCCCAGGTATGAGGTTGTCCATGTCCTGCAGGCCCACAGCCAACTAGGACTGCAGACCCAGCTGGAGGTCAGGGCTCAGACATGCTTCAGCCCCAGCTAGTGAGGGTCTGAGGAGTGGGTGCCAAGGTTCAGGTCAGCAGCTCCCAGCCACATCTTGTTTCTGCTTGACCTAATCTAGAGGCCCCACTCCACTCTTCCCCTCCCCTGTCCCTTCCCTGTGTCCTGTGGAGATCCAAGTTGCAGTCCCTAGGAAAGACTCAGGCCCTTGCCCATGGCCAGTACCATCCTCCTACCCTCTGAAGCTCTGTTTGTACTCCTGCCAGGACCTCTCAGAGTCCAGGGATTCTTTCTGCCCCAGTCTCAACTCTGAATCGCCATCTAGACACCACCCTCGGGTGTTGCAGAGAAACTGGCAGGAGCCTTAGCAGCCCCATGCAGCCTACCCCTCTCTGACAGCCACATTCCCCTAAGTATTTATTTAGATACTGGAGATTGAACCCAAGGGTACTTCATCAGTGAGCACATCCCCAATCCTTTTTGTGTTTTGAGATAGGATCTCACTAAGTTGTTCATGCTGGCCTGGAACTTTCAATCGTGCCTTGGCCCAAGTCACTAGGATTCACAGGTATTTATCTGAAAAACATATACCCCGTTGTTTTTGCACTTATCAATGTAGTATAAACCCATATTGTAATAGAAATCTGGATTTTCAAAAATAGGATGAAGAGAGCTGCAGTTGTGATTCAGTGGTGGAGCGCTTGCTTGCCTAGCATGTGTGAGGCCCTGGGTTCCATTCTCAGCACCACATAAAATTAATAAAAGTATTGTGTCTATCTATAACTAAAATAATAACAATTTTAAAAATTAGGGTGAAGATCCACAGTCTGTCAGATGCAGCTGCTACCCAGTGTACTGACGGCGCTCTGAGGTGGCACCCGAGTCTCTACCACCCAGGGACTCAGAAGCCAAGCCTACCTTCTGCCCAGCACCTATGGAGTGAACAGCACTCAGTGAACACCTCTGTGCCTTCAGCATCCTGCAGGCCCAGGCTGGAGCCCCACTGGTGAAGCACAGCCCACCTTCCCTGCCTCTTTCCACCCATGTGTATTGGCATCTCACCCTTGGGCTCAGAGCACTGGTGGGTCCCTACCCCAGGCTGCAGTACAGTGTGTGGGTGGCTGCTCACCTGGAAGGGGCACTGGTCCCCTTGGGCTGGATGGTGTACCTGCCACAGCAGGCCCTGAGTTATCCACCCAGACTGAGGGAAGTTCCTCCCAGGATGGGGCTGAGCTGGCTCAGCAGAAACTTCCTCACCCTTGTCCCAGCAACCAGTCAGCCACCATTCCCATTGGAGGCCACAGCTGCCTCCTCTATCTGAAGCAGCTGGCCAAGGCTTCAGTCCTGTAATCCTCCCACTGTGCATTGACACCTGTCTCTGACACCCAACATGAGCCCTACTGGCTGCCTGTGGGGGTTTACCTTGCCCTGGCCTGGCAGTGGTCCAGGAGTACCCTGGCACACCAGACCCTCCTGCATGAGCCTAAAGCAGCCTGTTGTGTGGATGTCCTGACCTGTCCCCAGTATTCTTGGGCAGAAACCAGGCAGGTCCTGGAAGCAGGAAGCAGTCTCGACACTGAGTGTGGGTGATGGGTCAGAAGCCACCTGGTTGAGTGGGTGCATGCAGGCTAGAAAGACCTGTAGCGGGGCCCAGCTGGTGCCTGACCTCTCATCCCTCATGCCCCACCCAGCCAGACCTTGGGGTTTCAGCAGCACCACCTGGGGCCTGTGGAGAGAAGACCTGGTCAGGCATAGGTGTGGCATCCCTAAAGCCCCTGCCCACCTCTGGGCTAGTGAGGCCCACCTGCTGGTACCATGGAACTCATGCAGGCCAGAGAGGACAGTAAGACCCAGCATGGGGCAGCCAGTCAAGCTTCCTAGGGAACAGACGTGGGGAAGAGGCCACCCAGCACCCACCGCCAAGCCCTCTGCATTCCAGCCTCCTCTGTCCCCATTCACTGTGGGTCTCTTTTTGAGTAGGTTCATGCTGTTGGTCCCCACTGGGCCTCCTTCCCTCATGTGTGCAAGTCTGTACTGGGAGGTATGCAGGGACCCTGAGCAGGCTGTCTTGGCTGGGCCCAGTCTACCTTTCTGGGTGGAGGCCTTTGCTAAATATACGTAGGTGCCAGAACGGTGTCCTCCGTTAAGGTGGATGGCACACTCCCCAGGTCTCAGGCTGTGCCCTCAGCATCCTGCAGGCCCAGGGGGGTGGGCATGGGAGGCCAGGACCTCCCTGTGCCTTCACCTAAGCCCCACTTCCACACACTTCACAAAGCAGGAGCTTCCAAAATTAGAATTTATTTCAATTTCTAAGGGAACAAATCCACAAACATGAGACAGGAAGACACAGCCCAGCCAGCTTGGCAGTCCCTGTCCAGCTCAAAATGGGTGGGTTTTACCTGGTTCAGCTGACAGTCAACAAAGGACAAATGACCCTGGGCCCTGATTGGGGAGTTGTACAGATGCTGGCCACAGCTGACCAGGAGTGCTGCGTGGCACAGGCTGACACACAGACTGTCTGGTTGTGCACCAAGAGTCAAGGTGGCCCAGGTACCCCCCCTGGATGCACAGACAGCAGGTTCAAGGCCCTCCTGACCTCAAGGAGGGTGGACCTAGACAGCAGCCTCACACCTGGCCTGTGCCAGCCTTCAGGTTCAGCCCCCAGAGGGCTGGGTTGGACCCCAAGCTGACCCAACGTGCACACGCCCACTCAGATCAGAGACACAAAGGAAGCCTTGCTCTTTGTCCCAGCTGGATTTAAGGCTTGTATTTCCTGACATTTGCTCCAGTTTTTGTTTTTCTTTGAAGCTAAAATTACCTGAGTGAAAAATTTTTAGACATTAAAAAAAAAAACCCAAACACAGAAGCTCTGTAGGCAGAGACTGCAGCCAGGGCACATCCAGGTCAGCAAATCTCCCTCGGAGCTGCCAGTACACAGCGGTGTGGGGCGTCTGGCCCTCGCCAAACGGGCGGGCCCTAAACCCACTGGGAGATGCACTTGGGACCAGACGCTCCTGCCAGCTGCAGCACAAGGCACAGTGAGGTAGGTACAGTCAGCAGCTCACCGGGCCTAGCCCAGGGGGTTGGGTCTTGTGCACCTGGCACCTCCCATCCCGCCCCTGGAGCTGGCCTGAGTGCTGAAGCCCATGGACAGCCCCTGTGGTGTGGAGGGGGCTGCTGGGAGGCCCGAGCTCAGATGATTCAATAATCTTTTATTTGGTGGGCAGGGACTGGGAAGGGCAGCGAGGCTTGGCCTGGACCCCCATGGGGGGTGGCTTTAATGCACCTGCACCCAAGACGACTCCAGGGCGGTGCCAGCTTCTCCCCCGCGGGCTGCCTACTGGCGTGGCCGGGCCTCAGACGCCCTCTGGAGGCAGTACTGCGTAGCGGGCAGCGACAGGACCAGGCTCACGGTGCGGCGGCCCATCCAGTACAGGCCGTAGCCCAGCAGGCCGAAGAAGGCGGCCTTCAAGGCCAGCCTGGACACTCTGCCCGAGATGGACGGCGGGGGGATGCTGGGGGAGGAAGGGGGGGGCTGGGCCTGGCTGGGGCACACGCCCCCCAGCCCCAGCTCCCCACATGTGGGCACCACCGTGCATTGGGGGACCCGGCGTGGCCTCCGCCGGGGGCTGCAGGGATGGGCCTGGTCACTCACGTCATGATCTCCTGGATGTTGAGGTCGGTGCTCCAGTTCTTCTCGATGCCTGGCACATGACCCATGCCCACGACGCCCACGACGACGGAAGGGACACACTTCCTAGGCTCGGCTGTGGGGGAGGGCGGAGGTCAGCGGCGGCGCGGGAACACTGCATCCCAGGGAGCCCCCGCCCGGCCCTCCCGCCACCTTCAGAGGCGCGTGGCAGCTCAAGGCGCCGGGCGGCCTGCCGCAGCGCGTGGGTCAGGTAGACGTCGCGCTCCGCGACGATGGTGCGGTGCAGGTCAGGGAACTCCCCGATCATCTCGGCCATCATCTGCTCCAGCAGGTCCTTCTGCTTGCAGCGCTCCACATCGTCCTTGCTGGGGGCAGAGGGCACGCTGCCAGCCCCGCAGAGATGGGCCAGCAAAGGCTGGTCCTGCTGGCCCAGGGCAGGGACCACCACATTGTTTATTTGGGGTTTATGGTGGGAGGAGGTTGGGGGTCCTTGTGGGAGGAGGCTCAGCTGGAAGAGGAGGCAGGGACAGCTGCTGGACATGTACATGGAGGGCCAGGTGGGCTACCCTACCTGATTGGGTCTGACAGGAAGCACAGGCCCCAGGCCAGCTTGACCTTCTGCCAGAAGGAGAGTGCAGCGATGGCTCTCTTGAAGGTGACTGGGATGGGTCGGTCACCCAGGTGGAACTTGCAGAAAGGCACCTTACTCGCCTGGAGCAGAGGCTGAGTGTCAGGACTCATGGGTGCAGCAGCTCCCCGATCCCTTGCAGGCCAAGCCTGGTACCCACCTCCTTGAAGGCCTCCCTGAACTCTCCGCCAGGGGCCATGCCCAGCTGCTCTGTGATGTGGGCAGACACCTTCAGCAGCAGCATTTGCATGAGTCCAGACATGAGTCCGTTCTGCAGGGACAGGCCTTATGTTAGGAGGTGGCGCCCAGAGGGAGGGGGGTAGGGCAGTGCCCAACACCCTTGGGCTCCTTCCACACTCAAGGGGAGGCTGCCCTGGCATGTAAGGAGGGCCCAGGTGGGTTCCAGAGCAGAGGCATCCTGGCCTCAACAGCCATCTTTCAAACACATTTTCTTTCTTCATAGGACAGTCAAGGGCTGGAAAGGGGCCAGCTCACAGTCAGATGGCCTGACCATGTGTGAGAGACACAGGCTGATCCTGGGCAAACAGCGATGTTCAGGGTCTCCAAGAGGCTGCCTCACTGCTCGCCACACCTGCCTGCCAAGGCCAATATGGATGGCACTATGGTCACCTGGTAGGCCATGTTCACACAGATCACAGCCCAGGCTGCCTCTGGGTCTGGCCAGACCAGGCACGTTGGGTACACTTAGGAGATCCCCCACCACCCTGAAAATGGCAGGACCATGAGGCTCTGGTCCAAGCTTACTGCCCTGGGTGGATTCTACCCATGAGCTGCTGGTAGACTGTCCACATCCCAGCAAGGTTGGCCTTTGACCCCTGGAAGGTGCCTGGAGCCCTGGGGATGTTCTGCTGACAGGAGTGTCCTTGCTTACCTGGGGCTCAGGCCACACCAGGCGGTCCAGGCTAACCACGAGACTCACAGGAACTAGACCACATGGTACCAATCTGACCTCCAGAGAGGTTGGAGGCTGAGCCCGCCAAATGCTCTGGACATCAGGGCACAGGAGGCCCTCCATCCCGTCAGCAACATGTTTGTGTTGTCACATTGTAGCTGGGGAGAGGGAGTACTCAGACTCCCTACAGGATTGAGGTGTGGCTGGTGCTGGCGTCTCCCAGACCCTGACTCATGCCTCTTTCCTCTGTGCCCCTTTACCTGTGCCCAGCTGCAGCTGTGTGCTTCCTAGCAGATTACTGACCCTCTCTCTGGGGGTGGGATGGGTGCTAATGATCCCTGGCTGGAGAGGGAACCACCTCTCTTGAGATGGCCTGTGAAGGTCCGCTGTGACTTCCCTCACTTGGGGGGCACCAGGTGAACAGCAGGCCAAGCTGTCTGGGATACCCCTGGAGTGCAAGCTGGCTGCAGCTGGGTGTATGGTGCTGGGCTGCCCCCAAGACACACACACGAATGAGAAGCAGTGCCGGATGAGGGCCATGTAGCCACAAGGTGGGGCACAGGCAGGCCAGATGCTGCTGAGATCCTGACATCAGGAATCTTTGCCTTAGGGTCAGATCATCATCTACCTTGTCCTTCCTCATCTGAAACTTGACAGAAATGCCCCCTCCTCTCCACAGCCAAGGTGGAGGGTCAGAGTAGACTGGGTGCTGATCAGAAGCCAGGATGCAATACACTTGGGACCTGGCCCTGAGCCCAACACCTTCTCTGCAGGGAACAGGGCAGCCCCACATCCCCACGAAAACCTGGGAGGCCTCACCCACCACCTGCCTGCGCACCTGCCTCACAGCCTGCTGCAGCTTCTCTAGGCTGACCTCCCGGGCCTCACGCAGCAGCGTCCTCTCGTCCATCTTCAGCATGGACACACGGTATTGGCAGAGCTCCACCACCACCACATCTGGCTGCACCTCCCGGATGGTCTGCAAGGTGGGTCACCTCTCTCCTAGATACATGCTGGCCACCACAGGGCAGGGCCCATACCCAGACCAAGCGCCCTCCCTCCCAGAGGTGGCCAGGAAGGCACTAGCCTGGTGCCAACAACTGTGCTGCGGGGGACAGTTTACTTCTTTAAGCAACAAATAAAGTCATGGGGCTGTAGCTCAGTGGCAGAGTGCTTCTCAAGCATGCGTGAAGCACTGGGTTAGATCCTCAGCACCACATAAAAATAAACAAGTAAAATAAAGGCATTCTGCCTATTTACAACCAAAAAAAATTAAAAAAAAACAAAAATAAAGTCATGAAGCAGGTGGGCTTCTAAGGGAAGAAAGCACAGGGCCACAGTGAGAGTCCACCTTCTAGTGACTGACCACGTTGAAGCAGAAACTTCCACTGCAGTCCTGGGGCTCAGCCCACCCAGACCTGCATCCAGGCCTGTGGGGGTGGCCCTGGAGAACAGGCCAGGGCAAATGGCCAACAGAGGTGGTACTGACCTTCACAACATCCCGCTTGCTGTCATCACTGAAGTGGGCAGTGCCCACCACATACACCCGGCTCCCGTCCTCAGCCACCAGCTGGGTCACAGTGCGAGGCAGGTTGGGCTGCTCTCGCCGCCGTTTCAGCTTCATCTCCAGGAGCAGGTTGAAGGCATCCACGTCAGCTGCACCAACAGCAAAGGCCACAGTGGGATGAAGCCAGCACTGCAGGCAAGTGTGTGTGGGTGGGGGGCGAGCCTCCTGGGCACATCTACCCATGGCTGCTCCTGTGACTGTATGGGCATCTAGGCTACATCTGTCCCTCATCCCACCCAGGCTGCTGCAAGGGATCACCCAGGGCAGGTGACAGCAAGGGGACTAAGTGTCCCAGCCACTGCTCAACTCCAACTAGGGCTGGATTGGGTAAAGGACAGGGGCTCCGAGCAGGCAGAACTGGGGCACAGCAAGAAGGGGCTCCTGATGCACTCAAGAGCTCCTTCCACTCCCTGGTGGGCCAGAGATGTCTGCAGCTCTGCCAGGCTCTCAGCAGTAGCCAGGCCAGCTGCCTCCCCCAGCCTACGGGCCCACCCCAGGAAATGCGCCAGGATGCAAGGGAAGACATACACAGGTTCTGGGGTTCTCCGGAAAGCACCCTGGGCACTGACCCCGAGGCCCCTGATGTCAGGACGGGCTCCCCATCAGCCTGTGGGTGGAGGGAGAGTTCCAAGCTGGGTGATCATGTTCCCTGAGCTCTGGCCTCCCAGATCAGGCTGACTTCTGTCACTGAAGGCCACCCCCAGGCCAGCGGTTACAGGGACCTTCCCCTTGGGGGGTTTTCCTGCTGGACTCTAGAAAACCCAGTGGCTGTGCCAAGTTCTTTGCAGAGAAACAGCTGGAGTGACAGAGGCCACACTGGGGTGGGCAGTGTGCCTGGGATCTCCCACCGAGCTGAGCAGCAGCAGCACAAATGCTGCAGACCCCAGGGTTGTTCAAGAAGCGCCCAGCAACCCCCCTCACCTCCTGAGGTGGCTGCTCCTCCACCTCCATGGCTGGGACTTGGCTTCCTGACCGATGGACGCCTGAGGAGATAGGACATGGTCCTCACAGAGGACCCAGGACAGGGCTCAGGGCTCTTGGCACAATGGCGCTGGAGTAGGACCTGAGGCTTCCCACCTCGACACTGGCTACTGAAATCTAGGGTCTTTTCGGGTGGGGCCTGGCTGGGGAGAGGCCGCCAGCCTTGATGAACAAAACGAAAATAGCAAGTAGGGCAGGCACACAGGAGACCCCGCCACCCCCAGCACTGAGAGCAAGCAGGAGTGGATCAGGTCAAACTCCTGAAGTCCATTTCAGGACACAGCAATGTGGTAATCACTGCAAAGAAACCCTCAATCTCTTTTAGTAATGGCAGGCGGGTGGTGACAACAGTATGGCTGTCCGTCAGACAGTTATCATCCTTAGATTACCATTTCCTCAGTTTAAGACAAACACAAGGCAGAAGAACCTGCCTTAGAAATGCTGACAAGGGACCTCGTGTGGTGGCACACACCTGTAATACCAGCAACTTGGGAGGCTGAGGTATGAGGACTGCAATGGGCAACTTAGGGAAGCCCTGTCTCAAAAAAAAAAAAAAAAAAAAGACTGAGGAGGCAGAGCCCCCATGAGTTCAATCCCAAGTACCCTGCCGCTCCCACAAAAAAAGAATGCTGACAAGGCCTAGATTGTGCCACATCATGGTTTCACACTGTGTCCCTCAGAAAGGTACCCGGGACTCTAGGAATGAGGGGCTGGAATGTCAGACAGCACAGAGGGACAAGGAACACACTGACCAAAGGGGGACAAGCAGAACACCAGTCAGACCCATGCCTGAGGTGACTGAGGCCATGGTGGAGACCAGTGTCATGCTGAGTGCTGGCCACATGCCCTGTCCCTTCGTGTGCCTCTTCCTGGACCTGCTTAGTGGACTTCATGCACTTGCTGGTGGAAGGAAGCTCCACCACCTGGCAGAGCTATTAAAATATCCAAGTGTCTTCCGCCCATAGTGCTGCAGGAGCTGAGAACTGACGTGACAGGGACACCTGGCACACAGTCACAGGCAGAGGCCGCAAGACTCACACCACGGCACACTGCCAGGGAAAAGACTCAGGCAAGTTGGCTGAGGGCAGTGCACAGCCGAGTTTGGGCCCCAGCTTGCGAAAACTGTTTAAATAAGCTCTTTCCACTGGAGAAATCTGGCCAATAGGTGTTGTAATGCTGAGGAACCAGAACATTCTACCGTGCTGTCAGCTGCGGGCAGGAAGCATGGTTTCACGGTTCTGTCTCCAGACCCTGTGTATGTGTCAGAAGTGTGTGCTGAGGTCAGGTGCTGGTGGACAAGGCTCCAGCCCGCAGATGCTGGGATCCTCTGTGCTTACACCTGCCTCTGCATTGTCACATGCTTCTCAAAGCTTTCATGATAAAGAAGAAATGAGCAGTGAATGGACAGTGCTCTCTCAAGCTCTTCCCCTTGGCACACTAGGGCTACCCCACTATGGTATGCACAGGCAGAGAGCCTCCGTGGCACCTGGCTGAACTGCTGAGCCAGCACAGCACCTCTGAGCTCACTTCCTCATCTGCAACAGGCAGGAACTCGGTGAAGTACCTGGGTGGACAGGGTTCTCTCTAGATGTAACCGAATACCTGATGTGGTGTCCAGGGACGCAGACATGCCCTGGAGCTGAACAAGAGGAAGAAGGCCATTCTAAGCATGGCTGGGCCTCCTGGAAGAGGAACTGCCATGGAGAAAGGGGCAGCAGAGGGCAGGGCAGGAAGCTACCAGGGCCAGGGTGGAGGAAGTTCAGTTGAGACTAAGGGAGACAGACCCCAGGCTGGCCTCTGAAACCTAGTCCTCGGGTCCCTTGAAACCACTAGTCACTGTATGAGAGAGGGGAGTCCACACCAGTGCAGGGCTGTGTGCCACTCCCCTGCACCTGGGCTTTCAAGCCTGGAAACTGCCTTACCCCGTGGGTGTTATAAGGGTCAGCAGGTCTGGGAAGGACCATTGTTGGCACTGGCTCTGTGCACAACTAAGGTTTCTGCCAAACTGTACAGGCCTTGGCTCATCTGAGCCTCACCCCTAGGGACCTCCTCCTTCCCTTCTTTAAAGTGTTCCATCTATTCAAAGCACTGACCAAAACGCAAAAGGGAGAAGTGCCAGGAGGATTGGGGGAGCCTGCCTTCCAGGGCAGTGTGGCTAGCTGGAAAAAAGAAAGCAGAGGGTGGAGAGCAGTTAGAGCTGGGGGGAGAAGACCCCTCAGCTCCAGAGGGGAAATGGGAGATGACCATCCTTAATCCATCTTAATATGCGGAAGTAAACAGTTCTTATTTATCAGCAGAACAAGGTTGCCAAAGCATGAAGGAAAAAAATTTCTTAAAAAAACAACAACAACAACAAACACCCTCTGCAGCTGGGCAGGAGGACGTGGCACCACCAGCGAATGGGAGGGGACCACGTTGCCTCAGCCTGCTCTGCCCTCCCACGGGTGTGGCAGACAAGTCTGTGGTCAGCCTACCCAGGGCACGCCTGAGCCTGGGGAGGACAGTTCGGCCTCTAGGGTTGGAGGAATGACTCCAAGGCTTCTCTGGAGAGGCCCAGGACTGCAGCAGGAATGGGTCTTGCCTTGTTCTCATAGGGGCTGTGGGTCAGAGGAGTCTGTCTGGCCAGGAGCCAAGCCTTAAGCCCCATGATGACCAAGCTACAGAAATGCAGCACCAGGACCACTGAGGCTCCCAGCCCTAGCCCCTGCAGCCACCCACCAAGGGCAGTACTGCCCAGCGAGGGACAGTTAAGCAGGAAGGCTACAGGCGCAAGGTCTGTGAGTCTGAGCATCTCTCTCTGATGTGAACACACACACACACTTCCCCAAACTCTGGTTTCCATACTCTCAGGTGTGATTTCAGCAGGTTGCTGTTATCCCCTATCAGCCACCATCTCTCTAGTTGGGAGTAGAGCCTGGCTTCCACTTTCCTGTGCTTTCTGTCCTTTTGAGACAGGTTCCAGTCCTCCCTGGAGCCCAGCAGACCACTTGCTGCTACCCTCAGGGGAGATAAATGCCTCCTCTTCTCCCCAATTCCCCAGCAGCTTGCAGGCAGTTTCCGGCCCTGTTCCTGGCCACACCACCAGGCTAGTGTGCTGGTGGGACTTCGGTCGGATGTCCCCAGCCAGCTCTCCCTACAGAGCAGGACTGGGGTGGGAGATGGACACGGGGTGGGAGAAGCCTCCTGCAGAAGCTGGAACTTCCGCCCAGCGAGGCTCCCAGAAAAGCAGCCTCTGATCAGCCTGTGTCGCCCAGAGAGGGCCATTGGCTTCAAGGGCAGGTAAGGCGGCTTTCGTCTGGGCTCCTGGCGCTGCAACCCTGTGCCCCAGGTCGGAGTAACAGGATCCAGGGTGGACGCAACTGCCCACGCGGCTGCCGGCTGCAGTGCGTGGCCACACCTACCGCACTGCCCACCGCACGGCCTGGCAGCTGTCCCTCCCGGTCCCATTACTAGGAACGGAACCGCGTCCTCCCGAAACCCACACGCTGAAGTCCTACCGCGGAGATGGACGCCTGTGAGGGGCAGGGCCTTCGGGGAGCCCCGGAGGG